TTCAGGGCTTGATGTACAATGTAGGCATCAGAAAGGACAATATTATGAATCTTCAGTTTTGTCTGCAGGTCTACCATCCTAAGGATGTAATCCCTAACCCCACTGGAACCATCATACCTCATATTGCTGAGTACTTGCATATCCCAATCTCGGCATTAGACGAGACACGATTCCTTGCTTGCAAGATTTCCATCATTTCTTTAGCTGTACAATTGGCTAGCAAACTACTCTTTAAGTGGTCCTGAATGGATCGCTTTATCAATAATAAGCAAATCCTATTGCTCTTTTCCCAAGCAACACTTCGTGCCTTCTCAGGATCCGTACTAGCGGCAGTCAGTTCTGCCGGCTTATCCTCAATAAGATCAATATGATTATCTGCCAGCTCCATCCCAAACAAAAAATCCTCTTTCCATTTCTTAAAGTTTGAACCAGTAAGAACCTCAATACTTATGGAGTTACCGTTTAGAGAGAAGATGACTGAAAAAACAAGCAATGTTTATAATTAGCATCATGTGAGTACTATCTTGACAGTTACATACATCATCATGTAATTACCTTTGGGCAGAATACATGACATGCAGCTATATATCATCTACATGACAACGGCTATGAGAATATATTCCAATCTTTTATGAATTCATCACCTTTAGGTGTATAAACCACTAGGATCGGTCATTCCTCAAGCATATACTATACATGTATCCCTCCATGAACCGATACATAATCACCTCCTTTATGAGTATGATAACACATTAGAACAAGAGACATCCCCAACAATATGAGACTGATATTTCTTAAACCCAATTAAGTGTGCTACTTTGGCGGTCACTACTCAATTGAATCCTTGAAACTCTCTCATACCAAGGATATTAGCTTTATGTCTCACGTATATCATATATATGTAATTCTAGACTTGAAGACATGGGCAATGTCCCTAAAATTACATATCATGCTAATTACATCGCTTTATTCATTGATATATGTTGAATCTCATATATAATATCAATGAATCATGCTCTACACATTCTTTATGTGGTAATTTACATGTAAGTTTTAATCTGTATCTACGAAACCACAGAGAAATACGGGAAAATATGCAATTATACCCTAAAAATACACATATATAGTGTTCTGTATGCATTTTCATATCCTTAAAAGCATCATACATGTAAAATAAATATACCACAGTGTAGAGAATCTCAATACGAACACGCCAGTACCGAGCACGCCGGTACCAAGCACGCTCCAAACGGAGCCAGGACGCTCCTTCACGCGCCGCCTGAATGCGCGACGCGTGCGTGTAATCCGGCCTAAAAGGTCGGTCCGACCGGTCCGAACCGATACAACTGCTGACCGGTCCGACCTCTGACTGGTTCGACAGGTTGACCGATTCTGTCAACAGTCAACTTCGGGTCGGGTCAACTTTCGGATCGGATCCTAGGTCGGGTCGAGTCACTCGATCAACGGGTCAAACCTGGGTCGGTTCCGGAGTCGGGTCGGGTCAACCGAATCGACCCGGCTCGCGGAAACCCTAGCGCACGTGTTACACACGCTGGGGAAGCCCTGCACGTGGCCGCACGTGGGCTGCCGCACGCCCTCACTACAGTAGCGCGTGGCCGCGCATGTGGGCTTTTTCGGCATCCCTCGGAGGCGAGCCACCACTCAAAATGCTCGTCTCAAGCCAATCTATCCGTTCATGTGGTCAAAAACAACTTTAATTGGACGAAATTACGAAAACCACACACAAAACAATATGTTCTATCTCTCGGCTACGACAGCTCTAATACCACATGTTAGTCGGTCGTGAGGCACGGCCGAGCGCCCTAAGAACACCATAGCAAGAAATAGAAAATACGGTAAAAGGATAGACGGGATTTTTGCACCTGTTTTGAAATCCATAGCCTTTGGATGCGGAAGTGACGACGAACCAGTGCTGGAGCTCTTCTCACCTATAACCCCGGAGTCCCTGGCACTATGAGACCGCCTCAGCCCTCACGAGTACCGTATGTGAGGTTTGAGAGTGTTTGAGAAAGAGTTAGGGCTAGGGGAGGGACCTCCAGCTCTATTTATAGAGTTTCCAGCCAGGCCCTCTCATAACGGGCCGGGCTCAACTCGGCCCACACAAGTCAGGCTCATATCTGACTGATTAAGAATTCTTATATCCAACCTTATTAGACCAAGATCGTAAACGGTTAATTACAACATCAATTAATGTAGCCCACATCAGGAAAACTCTTACAAATATACACATAAGATCCAAGTTATAAATTAGAATAGACCCGTGGGCCTGTTTGGAAGTAAACATTCTTCCTCTTCACACGATGTTCGTTTAACTTTGCTCCTTTTGTGATGCTAAAATATGCTTAACTCGTTTTGCCTTAAAATTTGTTTGCTTGTCAGGTCACACGTTTATTGGAGGGTGAGCAGAAAGATATAGAGTTAAGAACCGTCGGCACACACATTTCTGGCAAACTAATGAGTGAAGACCAGGAGCTAATCGAGTCCGATCCACATGGTTCGCGCGATGTCAGAAGGGAAATAGGCAACAAAGATCTACCCACATTAGAGAATTTACTAGATGCTTTCCTTGAAGAGGAGCAAATGGAACTCCCAGATGCTTTTCAGATCTTGATGAAGAAATGTGCGGGTTAGGACTCGAATCTTTCTGGGAGCCGCTGAAAGGTGAGGGCAGCATTGCAAAAGCTTCCCCATTTTAGCACCAAGCTTTCTCCCAGTTCAGGAACATGCTGGAACCTGAGATAGAGAGCTCACATTTCTCGATAACATTCTTTGAAAACGAGGACCTTGTTAACGTTGAGGGATTCATGGTCGTCCAGAGCCTAGCCCCTGTCCTAAAAAAATTGCTGGAGAAACGCAGAGACATAGGCACAGAGTCTCAGTTGAGTTCGAAGTCAAAGAACCTGATCTTCACCATGCTGTGTGGGCCAATAAGGAGCATGTCCAGCACAAAAGTTGACCACCCCTTCTTCGAGACCTTGTTCTATAACTGGTGGAACCATTTTACAATGGCCAAGCACGCCGGGTTCGAACCACGTTTGTCTTGGGTCATCTAGACAAAATCTTGCGAGCTCGCTTTGCTGTCCAACAGACAAAGTTCAGGAAGGAAAGCTGCAAGAGTCGGATGGTCAGATCGAAAAGTGCCAGGCATCCATGGAGGAATGGACAGTGAAAGCAGCAGAACTGGCCGATGCATGCAGGCAGTATCGCGAATCTGCAGAATCAAGCTTAATGAAGGAGCTGTCGATCGAGGCAGAGAGACTTGAGGGTGACACGGTCGGCTCTGCTCTGTTATGATGCTTGTCCTACCAAGTTGTGGCTAACTCTTGCTTCATATGATGTCGTAAGTAGCTTCGGAAGCAGTAAGGTTCTTTTTTTTTTTTTTGACTCAAGCAAGAATTTTAGCTGTCTGGATATTTGGCTGTTGGTGAGAGATGCTGCAGATATTGCTGTTTAATGATATGTTTCGCCTTCGCCTGAATTATATAATCCATCCCATTACAACCATATTTGGAGTCGGATTAGGTGGCTAGTTTATTTCACAACTTGCTCCTTAATTTGATGCTTGGAAGATTGAACATAGAACTACTAAAATTACCCGATACGTTTAGCTAGGCTCAGCAGTTACCTTGAGCCAGTGGCTGTTAAGGCTAACAATACAATCCAAAGAGGATATAGATTGATTAACAAAACTTACCAACTTTTTTTAATTTTTTTTATTTTCTCTTCTTTTCTTGCTTTCTTTTTCTTTCTTTTCTTCCAAGCCCAACGAGAGTCGCGGCCTTGCCAAATCTAGGCAGGGGCCATGAACCTCACCCAGCTTGCAAGGTTGGTGAGGGCCCCGAAGCCCTCGCCCAATGGTTGATGAGGGTCAGTTGGTGGCCCTCGCAGAACTTGATTAAAAAAAAGGAAAAGAAAATAAAAATTATATTAAAAAAAAGGAAAAACACCACAAAAAACCCCAAATTATACCACTTATGACAAGTTTACCCTGAACTTTTTTTGTGACACGAAAATCCCCAAATTATGCTACTTATGACATATTTACCCCACAATACTTTTGCCCAAGGGCATTTTCGTCTTTTTCCTTTTTACGTTTTTTTTTTCTTTTTTTTCTATCTTCTCTTTTCCCTCCGCCGGCCATGGCGAAGGGAAGCCGGCATCGAGCGAGAGTTGCCCTCGCCAGATCCGGTGAGGGCAGCCCTCGCCTGAGTTGGGCGAGGGCTGCCCTCGCCCGCCCAAGCAAGGCCGACCCTCGCCGGATCCGAAGAGGGCCTCCCTCACCCAAATCCAACGCCAGCGAGGGCCACCCTCGCCGGCTTCCCTCCGCCATGGCCAGTGGAGGGAAGAGAGAAGAAAGGAAAAAAAAAATTAAAAGGAAAAAGACGAAAATGCCCTTGGAAAAAGTATTGTGAGGTAAATATGTCACAAATTGCATAATTTGTCATGTTGCAAAAAAGGGTTTAAGATAAATTTGTCACAAGTGGTATAGTTTGGGGTTTTTTGTGTAGTTTTCCTAAAAAAAATTCAATATCTTAAGAAATTATCAAAAATTATCCACCTCAACGCCGGACGTACTACGTGGCACTACAGGCGTCCACTTCAGCAATTTCCAACTTAAATTAACCAGATGAACTCAATTGGCAAAATTAGAAGATCTAAAACTGCATTAGCAAAAGTACAGTAGGTTTATAATTTTTTGGATAATTTTCTCCGTGAGCAAAATTCTCAAAGCAACTGGACTTATATATTTTGATCACAATATTGCATTGTAACAGTTTGTTGCGAAGAAAATAGAAAAAAGATTGAGATGATAATTGATATAAAGTGCTACGTGATGCATGAATTTGAAAAATAAAAAATCCACCTAATAACTATGATATCATTGTCCGACTAAAAGAAAAATTCTGATATCACTGAACCTTAACCTTACGATACGACTTTTTTTTTTTTTGCTAAAAACCTTACGATACGACTTACCGCATCATCAGAACGTCCGCCAGCAAAACGACACGAGTCTTTCTCTCTCTCTTCGCTCTCGCTGGAGAAGTTTTTGCGGAGAGGCGAGCGATTGGTGCGTTGAAGAAGCAAAAGCAAGCTGATTGCGCTGTCTTCGGGAAGGATTCTTCCGTCGCCAATGGTCAAAGCTCCGCCTGCTTCACTGATCTTGTAGCTTCCACTTCAGAAGCTCTTGACGACGGATCGAAGGATTCAATTCATGGCTCTTGCCTCCTCCCCGCTCGCTGCCACCTTGTTGATCGCTCTCGCCTTCTCGATCTTCGCGGTTTCGCGCTCCGTGCCCTTCATCGTCTTGCATGGTAAATGGGTCTGCGGGATTGTGTCTGCTTGTGTGCTGGAGCTTGTTATGTGCTGAAATTGATGGGTGAAATGATGTTTTGGGTGTTGCCCCATATCGATTTTGGCTACTTATCGTTGCTTGCTCTTGAGGGGAAGAGCGGCTTTCGAGGATACCTTGAGCGAATTTTGCGTCTTTGACGAGCTCTAGTTCTCTTGAGATAGGAAGAAAGAAGTCGAAAGGCACAAAATTTGGTGTCCCGTTGATAAGTTTGGAAAGTTCTTTGGCTACGAGCGGGCATTTCATGTTGGTTTGTTCTGTTGGGAGCGAACCTTTTAATGAGTAAATCATTTGGGATGTTGGTTTCGACCTTTTGTATGTGTACACTGACTGTTGATTGGCGGATTGTTGTGCGGTCAGTTATCGGCCTTCTGATTCTTTGAGAGTCTAATTCGATTTTGTGTTGTCGGCGGTTGGATAGGCCGGATGGTGGCGTAATTGGAAGCAAATTCTGCTGCTTTTTAGAAGGATTTTCGAGTTTTGGTTCATTAGAATGGGTGGTTTACTCTGATCTTGTGCCTAATCCATATCTCCTCTAATGAAATGTTACACCGGTTCTGTTTTCCTTTTGAATTTTGGCAGGCATTGGAGATCAGTGCTCTAATCGAGGGATTACACAGTTCACTGAGCTTTTGAGCGAATATTCTGGCGCTGAAGGGTTTTGCATGTATGCCTGTATAATCTCTTCATATTCTTTTTTCCATGGCTGTGTTACTCAAACTGATCTTCTGTTTACTCAGAAAAGGGGCAGAAGTTAGTAATAAGACTTGCAATTGCACAGTATGATAAAGAAAGATTATGCACATTGGAATCAACATGTTTGTTATACTTGTAGGAGAGTAGGAACCTGATATTTATCGCATATAAGCTATTCAGATGCTCTTCTGAGGGACACGTCCTTGCCTGAATTTGCCAAAGAATGTCTCAGTTATAATTCTGTGGATGTTTCGCTAAGGAAATAATCATGAGAGCATTCAACTGCCTAAACAAATACAGGTCTTAACCTAAGTGTTCTCTCTCTTCATTGTCAAATCATACTTTACAATCTTTTGGTTTGCAGAAGTAGCTAATACTTGAAACTTTGGTGGAGCATATTAATTCAGTATGAGTAAGAAATATATGTCAGCAGACCTTATTCTGCTGAATTAATTGGTCATTTATCCATGACTCGATATTGACTGGATTGAAGAAATTATCGGTCATCCATACTGCATAATGATAAATGCCTATGACACCCATTAATTTCCTTAAATGTTGTTATTTGAAATGAAGTCTATATCGGTGATGATTTCCTATTATCTTCGTGTTATCTTCATCCTTCTGTAGAATCTGTTTCTTCAAGCCACATCTTTTATAGATAAATTTTGTAGGAATATGGCCTGATGTTGCTTTAGTTTTTTCCTCTTTTTCTGTGATGATAATTCCTTGAAGAAGCTTAGGATTCTGGTGTTGCATGACTTGTTTAAACTCTATTTCACATGTCTAATCTTACCGCAGAGAAATTGGGGATGGAGCATGGGATTCATGGTTTATGCCTCTTGACGACCAGGTAGGATACTGTACAGTCTGCTTTAATGTCTGCTTTTTATGGTCCAAAATTGCAACTTGTTACCATGTAATATGATTGTTGTTCTGTGATTGCAGGCTAGAGCTGTTTGTGACCAGGTATTTTACCACTGTGAGATGGTTGTGGCAGCTTCTGATTATCACTGCTGTTAGACCTTCTGTAATTTGCCAGAGTCTTTGCAGGTGAAAGAAATGAAAGAACTAAGCCAGGGTTACAACATAGTTGGTCTCTCTCAGGTGGTTTTATGAAAACTTAGCTACTTTTAATTTGGTTTTCAACAAACATTAGTTAGGTATCTATCTACTTGTCCGTGCATGATCTGTCTATTACAGATCATTAAACTATTTGGGTGAGAACCTCTTCAAAAATATGACTGGGTCATCCATTAATATAAGGTCATGTTACTGAAAAGGTATATGATCATTTGTTAAAATGGCTAACTGAATATACCCGACTTTTTTAGCTACTTCATCAAGTTGCTGATAATAGCATGATTCATGAATTTGATATGATAGATAGATCATGTACGTTGAAGCCATCTATCGTTATCTAAGAATTTGCTATCAGAGTTTTGACCATTTATTAAAGGAAGGCTACTCTTGTGGAACCAAAGAGATAGATTACAATTTGGTAGTCACGTTAGAATTTATTCCCTTTTTCCTTCGATTCTTTCAAGCAGACAGTTATTAAGATTGGGTTGAATACTGATGGTCAGTAACTATATTCCATGTTAATAATGGTTGTAATCTAATCCTCAAAACTTTTCTTTCTTTTCTTTCTTTTTACAGGGAAACTTGATAGGACGGGGTGTTATTGAGTTCTGCGATGGAGGACCCCCTGTAAGAAATAGCTTAAAAGACAATTGCTTTTGGAATCTTTGATATTACTCCTCTATGACTCAGTCGTCTGATATTTTTCCACTTGGGCTGGCACTTTTTTCCCCTCTTAAGATCATAGATTTTTCCGTCTGATTATTCGTAGTGAAGGTTGAGTGTTTGTAATACTCAGTTGAAGTTAAGACCTATGTCCATTAGTATTTGTCGTCCTTTAATAAATGAGCTTGCTTCCATGTGCAGATGCTCATCTCTATAACTGTTCGCAATTCCATGCTTCTATTTTTTTGAAAGAAAAAGAAGAGATGAGATCATTAATTCTTGTCCCTTTTGATTAAGCAGGTCAAGAATTTTATCTCTTTAGGAGGACCGCATGCTGGTACTGCTTCTGTTCCTCTATGTGGTGTAAGTATTTTCATGGTATCACTATCATGGTCATAGCAATTGTAAAAAACCTGAACCATAAGTTTTTGTCTAAAACATAAATATCTTAACATCCTTCAGCAATCAAGATGATGAATGATTGCTTCGTTTCTTAGATTAATTTGTCCACTTTGTTGAATAATTTTCTCTTGCTTCTTCAGACCGGACCACTATGCATTATTGCTGACCGCCTTATCAAGTCACACATTTACAGTGATTATATTCAGGTAATCCTTTGAATTTCTTCAGACCTTTTACTTTGTTTTTGATGTTCAGAACTTTGACAGTCCTTAATTGAGTCTAAAAGATTCTCATTCGACTCACTTGACTTACTTTATTTGATTGTGGAGGCCCGTGATAAATATTCAAATTGATTGATTTGTGAATCGCAGGCTCATCTGGCTCCGAGTGGTTATCTCAAACTACCAAATGTGAGTGCTGTCTTCTCATTGAGCATCACTGCCCTGCAGTTGCTATTATGTAATCATCCTTAATTTTTTACCAGATTCTTGGTTGTGAACTCGCGTTGCTAGTAGCCTTTTTCTTATTTTGACTGCAATTGTTCTGGATATGCATTCAGATTTGGCATGGATTGGATTTAATCTGATTGGTTGTTCTATCCCTAACATTCCAATGGCACAACTCATAAACCGCAACATTGATTTGAAATCCAGGCTATTTCAGACTATTTGGCCAAATGTAGGTTTCTTCCAAGGCTTAACAACGAACTCCCTGATGAGAGAAATTCCACTTACAAGGAACGGTTTAGTAGCTTGGAGAACTTGGTGCTTATAATGGTTAGTTGGAATTGTTCGATCTGTTTCATCTTTTATACCATTATTTCGTCTTTTATACCATTTATTCACGTTTTGAAAAAATGCTTATGTAATCTCATCATCGATGTTGCATGATCAACAGTTTGAACATGACACAGTTTTGATCCCCAAGGAAACCTCCTGGTTCGGATATTATCCAGATGGTGCATTCAATCCGATAATGTTTCCAAATGAGGTGACTTAGTTCACTTGTAAATTTTGTCTGTCAATTACTGTCTCTATTCAAGCTGAAATAATTGAACTCGTGACATTTTCTTCTTCTTTTCCTACTCCAGAGCAACTCAACATATATTTCCTGTGATTCAAATGCAGACGCAGCTTTACACAGAGGACTGGATTGGTTTGAGAAGTTTGGACGAAGCCGGGAGGGTTCAGTACGTTAGCGTCCCAGGAAACCATCTCGGCCTATCCAGAGACAATATGAAAAAGTATGTTGTTCCTTACTTGGAAGAACAGAAAACAGGAACCCGCGATCGGGTCAGGGATGGAGAATCAGCTGAAGTGCCGCTTCGTCAGAGATTGTCATCATCCCTCAAGAGTTTCATTAGTGATTTGCTTGAGCTCACTGAGGAGAAGCCATTAGCAGCCTATTGATTCAGATGAATACATGATATGGTACTCGACCACCTTACGATAGTGTTACAAAAGAAAACTGTCGGATTGCTTGTTCCATTGTACTATAAGCGTAATTGCACTCGAAACCTTTCTTACGGTCAATTGGTCGTGTGGTATATACGGTCTTGTAATTGGAGATGATACTCAGGTTGTCGTGAGACGATGCTTTACTTGTATACTCGTCTGATCTATCAGGTGATCAGTCTTTTTATTATTTGTACATGGAGCAATTGTCTTTCTCGCATCTTCATGTTTCCATTACCGCATTGGAAAACAGAGCTACAAGTCTTCACCATGCAGGAGCGCTCGAACAGCTCGATTGGTAAACAGTTAGACTACCTCTTCATGAGGGCAGTGCGCAACTATGCAGTAGTGTTTGGTAAAGTGTATTTTAAAATCAAATTTGAAAACAATTTTAACCTAAATACCGTTTGGTAAAAATTATATTTTGTAAAGGACTATTGCTAATATTTTCTTTTACAAAAAAATTTTGAGGTGAATCTCAGCCACCGGCGGGCCAAAACAGCCGTCGGCCAACTGCTGCCGGCCAACCTCCCTTGAGGTTAGGCGAGGCGGCCTGAGGTTGCGGGACGTTAAGCGTCACCTGGGTCTTGAGGTTAGGCGAGGCGGCCTGAGGTTGCGGGACGTCAAGCGTCACCTGGGCCATGCAACTCAGGAGGTGACCGCCGCTTGGGGTTGCACGATCCCCAGGCGACCACCGCCTGGGGGTCGCGCGACCCCGGCAACCGCCACCTAGGGTCGTCGGACCTCAGGCATCGCCTGGGTTGCATGACCCAGGTAACGCTTGCCTGCGTGGCCTGGGTTGCATGACCCAGGTAACGCTTGCCTGCGTGGCCTGGGTTGCGCGACCCAAGCAACGCTTAAGGTCTGGCGACCCCCAGGCGGCGTTCGCCAACCACCGGATCTGCTGCTTGGGAAAGATGAATAGTATTATGAATAGTACGATAAACAGTAAACTTGCATTCCGAAAATGCAACTTGCCAAAGTACCTCCGAATCTGCATTGGGCTAAAAGCCTTTAGAATCCTTTGGAAATGCAATTGCATTTCCCCAAAGTGCTCCAAAAAAATTACCAAATACCATTTGCATTTAACCAAAGGACTTTGGGAAAAGTGCCAAAAAAGTCCTAAATCTTTTTTTGGTGCCAATTCAGTCCTAAACCTTTTGCATTGGTGCCAATTTAGTCCTAAACCTTTTTTTGGTGCCAATTAAGTCCTAAACCTTTTAAATTGGTGCCAATTCAGTCCTAAACCTTTTATTTTTGTGCCAATTTAGTCCTTCCGGTCAATTTTGACCGGAATTTGCACGTGGGCGCTTGCGGCGGCGGCATCCACCGCGCGACATGGCGCCGACGTGGACAAATTAAATAATATTTTTTGAATTTTTATTTTTTTCCTTTTTTTCTTTTTTTTCCACTTTTTTTTTTGGTTTCTTCTTCATCGGCCGGTCGCCGGTCCGGCGACTCGCCAGAGGCTGCTGGCCGGGAGCTCGACCTCGCCGGCCACCGGGGAGGGCGGCCTCGCCGGCGAGGCCGAGCCTCGCCATGGTCCGGCGAGCTCGACCTCGCCGCACCGGCCGGCTGCTGGGAGGCGGCCTCGCCATGGTCGGGCGAGGCTCGACCTCGCCGGATCCGGCAAGGTCGAGCCTCGCCCGCGGATCCGGCGAGGTCGGGCCTCGCCCACCATGGCGAGGCTCGAGCCCTCGCCGGAGGCTGCGGCGAGGGCGAGCCTCGCCCGACCATGGCGAGGCCCGACCTCGCCGGAGGCCGCGGCGAGGCGAGCCTCGCCCGACCAAGGCAAGGCTCGAGCCCTCGCCGGAGGCCGCGGCGAGGGCGAGCCTCGCCATGGTCGGGCGAGGCCCGACCTCGCCGGATCCGGCGAGGTCGAGCGTTCGCCGATCCGGCGAGGTCGAGCGTTCGCCGGATCCGGCGAGGTCGGGCCTCGCCGACCATGGCGAGGCTCGCCCTCGCCGCGGCCTCCGGCGAGGGCTCGAGCCTCGCCCGACCAAGGCGAGGCTCGCCCTCGCCGGCCTCGGCCTCGGCCGCCGCTGCACCGGCGACCGGCCGAGTAAGGAGGAAGACAACCAAAAAAAAAAGTGGAAAAAAAAAAAAAAAAAAAAAAAAAAAAAAAATTCAAAAAAATATTTAAAAAATATTAAAATTGTCCACGTCGGCTCCGGTGACCAGCCGCCGGCCGGCAGGCGTCCACGTAGGCAAATTCCGGTCTAAATTGGCCGGAAGGACTAAATTGGCACAAAAACAAAAGGTTTAGGACTGAATTGGCACCAATTTAAAAGGTTTAGGACTTAATTGGCACCAAAAAAAGATTTAGGACTAAATTGGCATCAATGCAAAAGGTTTAGGACTGAATTGGCACCAAAAAAAGGTTTAGGACTAAATTGGCACTAATGCAAAAGATTTATGACTTTTTTGGCACTTTTCCCAAAGGACTTTAGAGTCCCAATGCTCATTTCAAATGCTGAACCAAACGGAAATTTCGGAAAATCACTTTAGCCCAAAAACCTTCACATTTTTTCAAAGGCATTCCCTCAAAGTCAAACCAAACCGGCGTCATACATTTGAAGGACTTGGTTGCGGTACTGCGACCAACCACACCACCCTTCGGCACAGCAAATACGAATACACTCAAAGCCACAAATTTCTCGTCTCCAGACGAGCAAGGAACCGTCGCAATCCAGCAAAGTTAGAGCAGCTGAGCTTTACTTTATCGAAGGTTTATTTATTTCTCTACTGCCGGAGACTACCGAAACCCTGATATCTACTTCCTTGAGGGAGAATGCCCATAAAACATGGAAGGCGGCCAGGAATGACGACCATGTAAATCATGCACGTTCTATTTGCACATTGCTTTGCGCATAAAGCTCATCTTTCCTTAAGCTTCAATTCAAGAGAAGAGAATATCGACTTTACATTGAAAGGGGGCAAAGTAGGAAAATGAAAAGAGATCACAACTCTGCCTAGTGAAGTATTCCTTATTTATCGACGCATGTACCAACCAGCAGAGGAAATTTCACTTAAGAGGGTAGAAAGGCGCCTTGTTTCTGTCATCATGCCGTAGAATCACTTCTTAGTAGACATGAATGTCCACACTAATGCCACTGAGATGATTACTCCCGATCGCACAGCCACTGTCCGTAACCAGCTGCTCTCCAGGAACCTTCTCCTCTGCACGGTACCGTAGCCACAGGCACGATATCCTCGCTAGTGCCGCTTGACCAGCATAGCGAACCCGGTAGACAACTCTCAGATCTGCCCATATCTCCGATTTAACGTCACCACATTCAAGAGAGGGATCGTATCCAACAAGATCTGATTCGGATACCACAACTACAGAGCCATCATCAAATGGCAACCTTTCTCGTTGGATCTTTACCACATTGGTTTTGAAAACTAGATCAGACAGGTGACTGCAAAGGTCAACTTTCTTCACCTTCAGATAATAGAATTGCTGAACAGCCTGCATTACATTTCATAAATATTAGCATTACATGTATACCTCTACTTGCTAGCTTAATCTTTTAGATGGGTGGCACTTATCCCCCTATATTCAGCATCATATCAATGCAAAATCTAATTGGCCTGGTGCTCACCTCTGCAAATCCTAACTCCTCAAACCCCAACCACCCCCCCCCCCCCCCCCAACCAAAGGAAAAAAAAACAACCAAGTTGCATCTAAAAAAAGAAACATGTTTTTAGCTTTAGGATACCCCAGTTGGACTAGTATTAAGAGCGTTCAAAATTCCACCTACACCTTTATTTGCTAAATTAAGCTTACAGGTAAGCTGGCAGTATAAACAACAAAGAATAACTAGTTTTTTGGAGAGCCCGGCTACATGAACCCTTCCTTCAATATGATTCCTTTTCACGCAAAAAGATGGAGTTCTACATGAGACGTCAATAATGAAAAACTCGCCCAACTTGGTATAATACCTGCCACTGAGATGTGGCTAGAAGCACCCTTGGTCGGATCGACTTCACATAGCCATATGCAGCATCGGGGGTCATATCCTTGTGTTGCACCTATGAGAAAGAGAAAGAGAAAGAGAAAGCTCGGTAAAGGCAAAAACTTTTCAAATATTTCAAGGCATATAAATTTGGTATACGCACCAGGTAGCATATCACAATGGTCGTACTACGGCCCCGGCCGGCTTTACAGTGAACATATGTAGTTCGTCCGCATGATGCATTTTCTTCAACAGAGCATCGAGAATAACACAAATAACTAAATAATTTTTCTTCGACAAGAAAAGCACAAATTTGAATCAAAAGATAGGCCTTCATATGCATCAAAGAAAATTTTTATTCTCAATTCCTCTTAAAAAGCTCAGAATCTTCAATCGCTTTCACTGATATTAATCTTAGCATTTCCATTGTAAGCAAAAGAAAGATATAAAACTGGAGGAATTCAAGATCTGCAAATTGCCCAATATCCTTCTTTAACTTATGGAAAAGGACAATCAAGACGCGAAGAGATCCAACAAAATACATAGTCAATGCTTTGGTTTTCTAACTAAAAATGGTATGCCTCATACGTTTAGTGCACAAACTTTTTTCAATATCCATTGTTGCAGCAATACAGCAAACAAGCACGATACGTCTCAAGAAATGCTTACTGTGAATAAACTCTACAGCTCGGCATATAGAGTGCAGGGACGGAGCAAAGCAATAGTCTCTTGTAGGAATCACCAGATGATTGATGCCATAAGCCTATGAAAAAGAAAATTCTAAACGAAATTATTACCGTAAGACGATTTTGCAAAAAACTAAATAACAGAGTGAAGATCTTTCAATAAAAGAATGACATTAAAAGGACTTAGCCTTCGCTCTTACGATTCCCAGCGGATAAGGAAGCCACAGCATGTATGCAAAAGTTATACTCACCTTATAGAGTGCTGTTGGAACCAAAGTTTCATAAGGCTCGTTCAGAGTAACCACTCCATCGACACCAAGCTTCTTTAGGCATGGAACATCAGAAGGAAATGGAACAGCACCCAACAGTATAAACTGAAACAAGAAGATGTGAATAACCAAGAAAAGAATTGCTTGAGCCTGATAAAGACAATTCTTATGTATAATCAATCCATCGAGAAATGGAGCCTTCCAGATCAATACTATTGTTGATAATATAGGCACGAAAAGAAAGGACACTGATCTGCCTTCACTGACGTTATGATACATTCTAAACAGCATATGATGGTAAGCCATTGTACGATCGATTTATCCATGATTAGTTCAGTAGAATCCCTATTTTGCAATCATATTTCTCTCAAAAAACAAACTGTGCGGAAGCTAGCTCTGCGTTTATGCGTATGCGCGCAGGCGCGTCATAAGCACAATCTAAGCCAATACACCAACTTTTTTCAATTGTTCACATCTTAAACAGTCCCTGCTGTCAACTCGTGCACAACAAGATACTAATCCGCCAAGATGAGCAACACTGCAGCAAAATTATCCACCATAGTGGTGATGACATGCATCATGCTGAAGCTCAAATAAAACCGCGGGTGCTCAACGGTACCAACCACGGCACACACAGAGGGCGTTCCCTGGCCCATAACAGTAAAACGCCAATCAAACAAGAAAAGAAAATCCGAAAGTCCACAACAAAAAAATTTTGTATACCTCACCGATACGGTCCCACCACCTGAATTCGACCTGAATCCTATTCCTCACGACGTTGTAAAGCAGGGTCGGATAGAACAACGCGCGAGCGCCAGCTCCGATCACCGCCCTCTTCACGTGAATCGGCACGACGCTCTCGTTTCCACTACTCCCCAGAACGATCTCGCCGTCGGCACACGACCCCTCCTCTCCACCCACACCGGCACCACCGACCCCGACCTCTCCGCCTCCTCCTTCCAGTTCCTCAATATACATAGCCCCAATCGACAAAACCAAACCAAATCAAATCAAAAAAAAAAAAAATCCCCAAAAACCTCCCCCACAACACGCAAAGCAAAATCGCTAATTCCCCGAGATCCAATCTAGGTCACCGCCCTGCGAAGGAACCAGCGGCCGAACATCGAGCGATGGATGCTTAGAGCGCGATTACTCCGCGAGATCACCATGAAAGAGGGACCGATCGGGGACCGATGATCGCGAGGCGAGGGAGCCTAACCAAGCCTTCCGAAGCGCAGATCGCAGGGGCGAACGGCGAAATCGAAGATCCAGCAGCGATTCGATCGCGATCGAAACCAAACCTGCACCTCGCTAACCCCTCTTCTTCTTCGTTGGAGTTTCTTCTGGTTTTGTCGATTTTACCTTGAATGATCGGCAAGGGGAATAACACGAATCCTACTCCACCTTGTTTTGCTCTAACAACTTCTAGAGAGAGAGAGAGAGAGGATGGGAGGGCGTACGGATAACGCTACCGATTGGTTAGGAAGGACATGGGTGAAAGGCGTGGTGAGTAGATGCCACGTGGGAAGCAGATGGAGGGATGATGGGAAGCTTAGAGTGGGGCCCGCCTGGGTGTTCGCGCCTTGTGTAATACCTTGGCGGGGGTCAATATGCTCCTTCTTTTTTTTAAAATAAATAATATATATCTATATATGTATATACACGCACTCCTCCTTTATCTTTCGACAAAATGTATTTTTTTTTTTAATTATTTTTTATTTTTCGCAAATGATACGGGCCATGTTCAACTTCAAAATGTTGACTAACCCATAAGACCACATATTTTCTGCGATAGATCACTTAATAATATTGTTTAGAAAAGCTACTCGAATCGAGTTTTACATGTTTTTTTTTTAAATCGTGCCATGACCGGTGCAACATGCGACGTTTGAGTTGAAAATTCGACCTTGAATTTCTTTGTCAAGATGGGGAAAAAAGAAAGATATGCCTTGTACGATTAATAAAAATTCACGACTATTTTCTATAATATTGTCAATATGGCGTAAGAAATACGGTGTACTTGGAATTAAATATAGTCGGCCTCTAAATTTAAACATACAAAACAAAATGCTACAATTAGGACATACGCCAACACCAACACTAATCGGATTCTTTGCACATTTTTGCCAAGATAAATATACTTCATATGCCTTCCAAAAAGTATAATTTTCGTTCCTAAGAATAGATTTGACTAATTCATAATTCGGGATCAATCAAACTTGATTTTTATTTTTAGCATAATATAGTATAACTCGCGATTTTTTTCGGATTTTGCGACCTCTCTTAGTTCATGCACCAAATTCCATTTTTGGACTTGGATTTTATCTAGGGACAGTAATCTAAAAACTCAATTAGAGCCCACCTAACTACAAAAAAGGAAAATAATATATATAGAGAGAGGACCCACTCAGTTAAACACCAAGTTCATGTATTTATGACGTGTATTTGACGTCATCCCCTCGCAAGAACTGAAAAGCACGCGTGCGATCTGAATTTGCCAATTTCCTCGTTAACCCACAATTGTTCACCCATCAATTTGTCCTGACACCGTCCCACTATCTATCAATCCTCCACGTTTCTCATCAATTACTCGATTAACTTATTATGCATTTATTTCACAAAAAAATAATAACTTAAAAATAATTTTTAAAAATAATCGCTTGTATAACTTACAAAAATGAATAAACAAAAACATTTTCATCATCCATGAAAATATTTAAATACAAATTGTTGCCGATATTAATCTTATCTCTGCATGGTGCAAATTCAGAAATTGACTTTGGTTACGTTTAAATGAGTGAAATGAAAATATCCCAATTTCGAATTCAAATATGTTCTAAAAAGTGTCTGAAATTACCCAATTTATATGAACCACATCTGTTTTTTCTAGCACAATCTTGCATCTTAGGAGGAATATGCTGGTGCAGAGGACAAGGGCATCTCAACCAAGAGAAAGTGAAGAGCATTCTCCATATGCAGAGAACACGGGGAATGCAGAATGGGACCATTCAGATTCTTGAATATGCCATCAGGTTACATACAAACAAGAAGCATATTCTCCTCTAGCAGCACTTCCAGGGGCGCGTTCTGAGGGACTAATCTCCAATCGTAGCACGTCGCTTTCGCGTAGACTTTATCGTAGCTCTCTCATACAATGTGTTCTTATAAAAAAAAAATCGAAAAATCGAGCCCGAGATTTTACTTCCAGAACCATAGGTGCAGAAAGTGGCCCGATGTCTACCATTCTCTGGCTACTTACATAAAAGTTTCTAAAGGTGCCTACTTTGGTGTGATGATGTATGCGGATCAGTAGAGCCGCCCGTTCCTTCACAGCCAGGAATGAAGAGTAACTGCTGCACCAAAAAGTCAAAGCAGAGGCAAATAGTCAATAGGAAATTCATGCTTCCAAGTTCAACTTTACATCATCAAATGACTGTATAGAGAGAGAGAGAGAGAGCATTTATTAAGCAAATGGGTCATCAATGTTTTGTTGCAACAACCCACTAAACACCCCTTTCAAGCTGTAACTATCGTGTGGTCCTTTTTATATTAGTCAAAGATCACTCAATAGATGAATGGTTGCAAATTTTGATTAAGACAATAAACACTCAACCACTACCTGCATCTCTTTGGATATCCACCAACCAATGAACAAAGAAGGTGCCAAGAACCAACAGGGACAAAGATCCAATCCCATACCTGCTTGTCACAAGTTCATCGATGGCCAATCTCACGAATCGTCATACATGTGCTGTCCGAGGAGTCCAGAGTGAGCGGAAATTTTCCTCAGCGGGACACGATCTGCATAGCACACGAATTCCTACATGGAGAACGAAATTGAAGCACTAACTGAATATCGCATGTACAGAATTAACTTCTCAGGCCAGAAGGGATTGAATGGGCAGAGATTGTAAGAGCGAGGATAATAATCAAGTCCACAAGAGAATACATGTATCTGTTAGCTAACAAAATCTGCTTGTACAGTTTGGATTGGCTCAAGGAATTTCATTTTATTTTATTTTTTGGTCGAAGGCTCCAAGAATTCAAAAGCAATAGATTGAACATCTACGATTTTACAGTATTGCAATGAGTTAGACGTGTGAATTCGTCTTTGTATTGAGTTAGATGTGTCGCAGCATATTAAATACTACAAAAACTCATGATAAGATGTTAGGAGGGCATTAATAAAGCTTGAAGCAGCAAGAAAACGAAAAAACAAAGCACAAAAGCCTTCTCTGCAAAATTAAGAATCGGCACAAAATCCTAAATGGTCCTCAGAATTATCCCAAACAAGTTGTTATCAGGGTGTAATCCATGTCGGAACCATCGAAGTCAGCAAATAAAGGATGTGAAAACTACGAACATTTATCCATGATCAAATAGCAGAAAAAAAATTCAGGTTAGCAAAGACTAAACCAGACATTTGTTTACCACTAAAGAAAGAAAAAGTGCTTCTTTGTTGAATAGTACAAACTGAGCAAGGCTAAACCAAATATTTCTCCATGTGTTTAAACATGAGTACAAAAACATGGCCTGTTTCAATATGAAGCAGCATGTCGACATGATTACTAAGATGACCAAGGCAAGGGCAATTAGCTTCCAATCAAAATAGCCCCATCCTCAAGTGCGAGGACGAGTGACCAGGAACCTTATCCTCTAAGATAAGATTATTAAATCAAGTGCCCTTCTGACGCCAGCAAGAGGAGTCACTTCAATGAGGTTGAGTGGATGCTTGGTGTTACTTTTGCTTTCCATTTTTTGGTTTTTTTTTTTTTTCCTAAATTTTAAAGTTTGAAATAGGACTTTTGTTTAATGGTGTGCACCCTTAGACAATATCATTTTAAGTCGGCTTAAATTTTTTCACAATTTTTCAAATTTTAAATTGATTTTTTGGCTTTGGCAATACATTCAAACCGGGCTTTCTGGTTTTGAAAACCACACCAAACAAACGCCTTGCAATTTTGTTCTGTGTATCTCATAGAATAGATGGCAACTTATAAACTACAGCAATATCCTAGAAAAGGAATGCATCTAGGCCCTAGACCATTAACATCTACATGAAACAACACAGGATCCAAAATTAAGATATCAGTCATCATGTATGTGTCTAATATGTTTTTGCAAAACCAAAGGCCAGAAGAGAATTTTCAGCTCTAGCTCACAAAGATGGCCCCAGCAATAAGAAAAATGCTACAGAACAAGAAAAAACTATATCAGTATATAAAAACGCATGCTGATGTGCATGAAAACTACTTTCAAATTCTAAGTGTGTTCTCATTTTCCTTTCACAACGCACCTACATCAAATAGGAACTTAAAAAGGCACTTTTAAACCTCTTAAGAGTCAGCATAAACTTCATCAGGGAACACATCCCTCCACCTTGCTTACACCAAACCATACACCTCCAAACAAGACAAACTCCTATTCATGATTAGCGACAATCACACCAGTCCCGCAACCACAGCAAAAACACAAAAAAATCAATAAGTTAACAAAAGCGATGCAAGCTGGGTAAATTCTCCAAGGATTCAAGGAAAGCAATCACCATACCAGCAGTCAGAGTCAAGAAAAGTTGCAATTGGCCGATACTTGAACTCTGAAAGGTTCAAGAACGTTTGCTCCGAAATACTCGGCAAAAAGGCTGATAAGTAACACACAGAACTATCATCAATAGGAGCTTGAACTGCCAGGAAGCATAAACATATGAAAGGAATGTTACAATAGTCAGTTCCATGGTCTGCAAACATCTTCCGGACTTTTTAATCCCATTCTACACACAATTAGACAGCTACTCGCCCAGTCCTTGTGCACCTTCGTAACAAGCAATCTAATTTAGCATTTAATTTGCTTGACTTCCTCTTCTGCAAGATCACCTGAATCTCTCACTCAAGAGAGATACAAGCTCGTTGTCACCACATTTCTTCAGATGTTCAACTATGTCATCAGCATATAAAGTTCGCAGGCGTACACCTTTATCAAACATCATCCTCATAACCTTGGCAGCCTCAATCATATGGTCATGCAGACAAAGCCGGTGTAAGAGAACCGAATAGACATCAGAATCAATTGAAAGTAAGCACCCCATTTTCTCAATATCATCAAAAAATTGAAGTCCGTCCAACACCCTCCCCTCAGTACAAAGCTCCTTTATGATAAGGCTAGAAGCCAAACTATCAGGTTTCAACCCAAAATCCAACAATCTTTTAAAAAGCATTACCGCCTCATCGAAAAATTTATATCTCATCAAAGACACCACCATAGAACTATAACAATCCCCATTTGGAACAGAACCTTCTGAGACAACTTTATCAATCAACTTATAAGCCTCCTCCAATTGGCCTTTCTTGCAAAGGCCCTCAAGTAGGGCAGCAACTGTAACCCTATTAGGGGTGCAACCATAAGCTATCATTCTATCCAATATTCCCAGTGCCTCCATTGTCAAACCGCTGTTAGAAAGGCTCTGAATAACTGAAGTATAAGTAACCACATTTGGACTACAAGCACCGCCATCTTTCTCCATCTCCGTCAACAATTCCATTGTCCTATCCATGTTCCCATTCCTACACACACCATCAAGGAGAGCCGAGTAAACAACCACGTTCGGCACACAGCCATGTCCCCTCATTAGCTTGATCAACTGGTAAGCATTTTCCAACCTACCCACATTGCAAAACCCTTTAACCATCTCCACAAAGGTGATCATATCAGGGTATAGACCGACCTCGCTCATCTCTCTCATCAATTTCTCTGCACTATCCATATCCTCCTTTTGACAGAACAACCTAATAACAATATTGTAAGCCGCCGTATCGGCCCTCAGATTGAATTCGGGCATCTTTCTGAGCACCCATAAGGCTTCATCAGCAAGCTTAGCTTCCTTGCACAGATTCAAAACTACCTTAACGGCCTTGACACTAACTAGACACTCCTCAACACCGTAAGACTCGATAACATCCCGAATGACTCGTGGGTTTCGTCTAATTTCAAAGATTTCACAAGCTTTAGCATACACGTAAGAGCTGTGCCTGTAACTAGGCTGAAGACCAGACCATACGAAGAACCTGAGACCCAAAAGAGATTGATCAGTGGAGCACCTGGTTAAGACTTCACTGACGCACGAAGAGTCGAGATGAGCTCGGACAGTGGCTAGGGCTTTCTCAATGTTGCCCCCATTTTGCTGAACGCAAGAGTAAAATTTCTCAGCAGGAGAGGTTGCAGACGAGTGCAAGGTCGAAAATTTGTGAAATTCGGAGGTGATTGAGACCGAAATCACGCGAGCAATGGACGAGCGCAACATGGGTCGTGTAGAAATTTGGATTTTTCCGTTGCCGCCGCGAGGCAAGGTTGCAGATTGATTGGGTCCAAGTTACGACCTTTTGTTCGTTTGGTGCTCGCAATAGCGGCGGAGAGCGCAGGTTCCTCGGCTTTTGATCCTAAGGGCACGGCGCTCCCTCCTCCGTCGGTCCAGCAAATCAAAAATCTAGCCGGGCACGTAGCTGAATTTCGGGCTTGCAATGAATCCGTGTACTCTCAAACCAACATCAGAGAATCTGTTCAAGCGAAAAAATGATACCTGAACCCACCTGCCCTCTATGTCGTAAATGCTATGAAACAATTGAGCATGTATTACTGCTGGTACGCGAGTGGGACTCGGGAGGTCCGGAAAAAATCCAATTTTGAATATCAGAGTTTCGGACCAGGGACTTATAGTCGCCTAAAATTGAGTGGTTCTTGCAGAGAGAAAAGCCCAAAGGAAACTCACCTTCCGTGGATCTGATAGCAAGGGTCCTCTGGAACCTACAGAAAGCGCGGAAATCACTTCGTTTTCCGGCACCAGGAGCCTGAGCAGACCGAGACCCACGCGTGCCTCGAAGCGCTCCGCCTCTTCATGGATCGATCATGATCTGTGCTCGTGGGAAGTAGCTCCACTTATCACCGAATGCCATCAATTGAATGGGCCGGTGTAAGCATCTCCGAGTGGCCCATTGTGGAAGAGAAGAGAAGAGAACCAAGGGGCTGATTGGGTTGCCAAAAAGACCCGCGAAAGAATTTACCTTGTGTAGCTACCGATTCAGGCGGCTTCGGCCTCCGATTGTCCCGTGTTGTGCTGTTTTGCTTGTTTTGCTCCGGTTCTTGGAGCTCTGACCTTGGCCGTCGAGTTTGCCGTCCGTGGTCCGGCGCGACTGGATCTTCCGGTGACCGCCCACCGCGCTCGCGAGGCTTCCTGCGAGGGAAGAAAAACTGCGTGTTTGAAGAAGCGGAGCACAAAGGGAAGGGACTGATGGACTGGGCCGGGCTAGTAATTGGGCCCTACTGTGCACGGCCCATGACCATAGCTGTTGTCGGGCCCAGCCCAGCCCGGCACGTTCCTCACCCCCTATACCTCGAATAATATAAGGAAATAAAATGAGAATCTGTTTTTTGGAGTACTTTCTTATTTGTTTTTTTGGATGGCCACAAAAGGATCCTTTCCTAACAAGTCTTATTCAAATATTTTGTCGAAATAAAAATAATGTTGTATATAAAATTTGCGAAAATTTTTTTAGGTTTTCTTGAAATGTTAATATATACTTCTATTAGCTTTAAAATCCGTCAACCTGATAAACATTTTCTTCAAGCATCGCAAGTGTTATTGATAATGATGGTATAAAGAAGTCATGTGGTCTAATTCTCAAACAGTTGATGCCGTTCAATTAATTCAAATTATTAATGAGTGATTCGATATTGATATTTGATCAATTAGTATAGGTGAGACGATAATTTTCATATTTGAGATTTATCCTTAAAAAAGAGGAATATCTATTTGTTGGAGACAGTATTTCCTTTTGAGGAATTGGGACAATAGTGTGCGATGAAAACAATTAATTACACCGAAATGCATGATTTCTCATATTTGGGACAATAGTAGTAAGATTTGAGAAATCGTGCATTTCCTACATCATCATCATGTGATTGATCAATTATGCACTTGTAACTCCCTTATTTTTCCGCTAAGGTGTGTGATGTACATTCCTTGAAGGCCATTATTTCAGCAACTTTGGAAAAATAACATTTGGAGAACGGCAACCAACTTTATTTCCCATATTTTCAAGGTCTTGTAAATGTCATTATTGCATTTCTTAGTTCGTAACTCTTTATGAGTCTTAATTGTGATGAAGGTTTCAAGAGTCAAAATTCTAGTTCCCAGTTTCTAGTAAATTAGTTTTGTCTTTCCAACAAGTCTAGAAAATTACTCATGCTTAGAGGGTCGTTCCATGCTCATCTATATAAGTATGCTATGATGAATAAAATTTCAGACTTGGTTGATTCATTACTTATTCGAGCCTTTGACTTGAGAACAATAAGTTTTTTTTTTGTTTTGCTCTTGTCCCTTAGGTATATTATCTTCTAGTGGTGACTAACGTAACAAAAAGTTTTCACTTGTATTACCTCCTGCTTCTCTACGCTCTCTCCGGCGTTAGCACAATCTATTTTTTAAGGCAAGTGCTTGGTTAATGCTATAGAATTCTATAAATTGTGTGTACCATTAGAATAGTTAGAATTAAATGTGCACGACAAGCTCTCGATCACTTTTCTTACTGGCATTACCTACGTGGACTTAAATCTTATAAATTTAGGAGGAAAACATTGGTCAAGAAACCAAAGAGAAGATTGATTGGTGAACATTCCTTATATTGTAATTTTCTTTGATTCACACGCCCACGCGATAAATCGAAATAATATATTTCTACTTTAAATAAATTCCATACGAATAATTGCGAGAGTTAGAATATACACACACACGCTCCTGCGCAACGAGCCGGGCACATGACTAGTGTGAAAAAGATAATTTAAGATAGTATTTTGTCTACGCAAAAGGTCTTTCTTAAAACTTGATATGATCTGAGATGTCATCCATTAGAGCTCCCATTGATCAACTTATAAAGGACATCGCAACTTTCTCTCCGTCTCATCACGTTCATACGTGTGAAATCCACCAAGACCGAACAAGGCGTGCCAAAAGATTTAAAAGCAATTCGGGGCAAGTACAATTAGCTTGTCCACTAATTGAATATTGATTGTACCATACTTTAAGAAAGCATTATCTTGGAAATGCGTATCGATGACGATACTTGCATCGAAACCCCAACCAATCAACTTAATCAGGAACACATTTTCCTTCAAAAAACGAACACGATTTCCATCTTCGGCGTGTAAACCCATCTCATCGCATGCGTGCTCAATACAATCTTGGAGCAGAATCGACGTCTTTCAGATCTATAAGCGATTTTCGACCCAAAAAAAAAAAAGATGCATAAGCGATAAGCGATTAACCTTAAACAGGGACTTAATTAGTGGGGACTTTGGAAAAGGTTCGTTCTAACAGAATAATTAATGATGAAATGGGTGGGGGGGTGTGAGGAATCAGATCCGTTGTGTCAACAAGTCTTTCTGACGCAACGCTTTCGGCCACAAAAACGCTTTGGCAAAAGCGGAGATACCTTATCATCCAGCTTAAGCTGATGGCATTCCAGCACTGCAGCGAACGTGATTAGGATAAACAGTAGTCGCTGAAATCGTCTGACTTGTACATCGTCTTTTACCGTTGATTGACTTGGTCCAGCGGTTTGAATAAGAGATCCGTGCATGTGCATGGATAAGGGCGTACCACGCGTTCCATTCCGCTTGAAAATGACTTCATATCGTGGGGTGATTATTCGAGTTTTTGGTTCGTATTTTATCCTATTCATGAATGCGACGTAGAACTTAACCGGGGATTTATTTATTTAAAAGGGTAAAAGCCAATAAAAACTTCAAACTATACTCAGTAGTATGACATATTTACCTTAAATTTCTTTTTATAGTGACACAAAAAATTTCAAATTTATACCCGTACGACACGTTTACCCTCCACCAAGATTCTGTCAATGAGTACCTTTAAAAATCCGTTTACATGGACATTGGGAAGCAAAGGGTGTTGGCATGGCACCCATGTGGCTTAAGTGAAATAAAAACGACGTTATTTTAGCTAAAAAACCATCTAATAAAACCTTGATAGAGGATAAATCTATATAGGTACAAGTTTAGAGTTTTTATATCACCAAAAAAATTTTAAGGTAAATGTGTTTTAGTAAGCATAGTTTAGGATTTTATTATCACAAAAAAAGCTTGGGACAAATTTGTCACAATTGGCATAGTTTGGGATTTTTTGTGATTTTTTCCCTAAATTTTATTATCAAATGAAGTAGGGCATTGGTTAGTGAATGAAAACAGTATTTGGTCAAAAAAATTTTAAAAATTAAGGCTCCATTCATAAAATATATAGACAAAAATTATTGTTAGTAATGAAAATATTTTTTAATGATTAATTTTTCAAGTGATACAAATAATTATTTTTAGGATTTTTTTTTCCAAAAATCACCTATTTTTTCGTGAAACAGATGATGTCTAGAGTCTTTTTTTTTTGTCAGAGTCTAGAGTTTACATTAGGGATAAGTGTATTAAAAGTCTTTTACAAAAAGGGAAATCAACTTTTAAAACTTATCAAATTGGTGCAATCAAGTCATTCCATCAATTTCGTCTAATTTGGCTAATGGAAAGTACTGACGTGGCTTTTTTTATTAATTTCACTCTCCTACGCAGCGCTAACATGGTTGAAACATGAAAGATAAGACTACAACGAAGTCATTTTGATCCAAATATGATTTTTCAAACTAAATTTTAAAAAAATTAAAAAAGAGAGAATGTAGGAGACAAAACGGCGACCGCCGCCACCGCACCATCGCCGGCGATGGTGACCAACAGTGGCAAGGGCCCTACAGACCAATAGAGGTATTTTTCTTGATAAATTTTAAGACTTTCAGTATATTTTACGGTACGAGACCAATAGAAGCATTTTTCTTCACTTGATAGCTTTACACGTAGGGAACAAAGATAGCTTTACACGTGAATTCTTTTGGGAGCGTCTTTTTTTTTTAACCCCACGAGCCACCGAAATCGATTTCCGGAATTTACGGGAGTGTTTGTGTGCAATTTTTTTAGTAAAACGTGAAGTGGGGACAAGTGGAGCAAAAGCACAAAAGCTCTACTTTTCTAAATTTCGTTTTCCTTGGGCGATAACCGGTTCTTTATGCTGCAAGCATATACCTCACCGTGTAAACACGACCGCGCCATCGAAATGGAACGCGGATGGTAAGGGATCATTCGACGGAGCGTACAGACGGCGACCGAATCATACACCGGGCATATGTATATTGCGCTCGAAGAAAAAGAAAGGAGAATAGATACAGTCGGTCGAGACGCTGCCGGATTTTCAACTCAGAAATTGAAGGTCGCTTGTTTGGATCGTACCGACTGCATACAAACTGCTCTAGATCAGGGCTACCTTGCACTGGCCCAATGCCCGAATTCACACGGTTCATAGATATCACAAAATATTTCACGAGCCTCCAGATAACCGAGTCTCTATCTCTCCCTACCCCTAAGACTATTAGAAATAAGTGCTATTATGTTATACACGATTGGTGGTGTACAAAAGAGCTTTCTCACACAAAAGTTTAGTCGCTGCTTAATTGCTGCAGAAAACCCCTTCAAACGCGTCTCCCTGCCCAAAGAAACCCGTAGAAAACGACCAACTAATCTTTTCTCTTTTCAAATCCAATCCAAAAGAATTTTTAGAGAACCTTGTTATTCATCCATCGATGACTAAACTCGACCCGGAAAGAATGGTGAATTAACAACATTATCAGTGCCAGATAATCGCGAACGAACTGGCGTGGCCCTTAAGAGCATCTTAGGATCGTTTCCATTCGGGGGTAAGACTCGAAAAGAATGGAAGATGAACGCACCCCACCCCGTTAAGAAAAGCATTATCCTCCAAAAGTGGCAGACACTGCAAATTTCAACTGCGCACAACGATGATATTAAAATCTATGTCAGCCGAAGGGAGGGTTTATGACCCTCGAAGGGCAAAGAAAAAAGCTAGCGTACGCAGTCCAAAAGAAGAATCCTGACCACATCCACGCAACCTATATACTCTCATTCCCCCGATTTCTTTTTTGGTTTTTTTCCATGTTGTTCATCACTTGCATTGTCCCCACTCAGATTCCCCCTGGAACCCTTCTTTCTTTTCTTTTTTGGGTTTCGGATTGCATGTTTTTTGCACTTAGACCACGTAAATTGTCGATGATTTGCTTATGGACTATAGAGGTTGCGATAAAACTATAGAGGTTACGATGAAAATATCGTTTTTTTCGAGTGTTTGGGCATTCTTAAGATAAGATAAAGAAAAGAAGAAGAAAGTGTCGGGCCAACATGGCCGTGCAAAGTCGTTTAGAGTGAGGGAGTTTCTACATATTTCCGGTGATCGGATTCTTGAAAGTCGGTGACCGTTGAATAGCAAGAGAATAAATTTTGGTCATTTATTAGAATGTTTGTAAGTTGCTGCCACAAATGGCCAAAAAAACAGATGAAAGATTTCCATGAGTGTTGATTGTTCCCTTTGCTCTCCTGCCAAAAACTTTTCCTCTTCCACTATATGTCCCTCTGTCTCTCTCTCTTTGCTTTCCTCTTTCTCTACTTTTCCTTAACCCTTAAGTCTTCTTTGTCTCTCTGTCTCTCTCTCTCTCTCTTCATCTCCTTCCTCTTCATATTTTTCCAAGCGCTAGAGGTCAAGAAAAGACTCATCATCGGGCACTGCAAATTCATCCCTTCAATGGCTGATGCAGACACTTGCACCAAGAAACATGGCCTGATCTCAGAGCAAAACCCAGCAAGGACAAGTAAGTTCTTCACTCACTTCCTGTACAAAGCCCTCATAGTCGTAGTCTTCCTTGTGATCCTCCCACTATTCCCTTCGCAAGCCCCTGAGTTCATAAACCAGACCGTGCCCAACAGAAGCTGGGAGCTTCTGCACATTGTGTTTGTGGGCATTGCGGTTTCTTACGGCCTCTTTAGCAGGAGATCGAACGATGAGGCTGAGAAAGAAAATGGTCCCTCTAAATTTGATAGTGCGCAGTCCTATGTGTCTAGGTTCCTTCATGTGTCCTCTGTTTTTGATGACGAAGCTGATAGCCCGTCTGGGTCTGATGAGAACAGAGTCCAGACTTGGAGCAGTCAGTATTTTAGGAATGAGCCGATGGTGGTTGTGGCTCCAGAAAGCACTTCTGTTGATGAGCAGATAAGTAAGAGTTCCAGAATCGGCGAAAAGCCGTTGCTCTTGCCCGTTCGGAGCTTAAAGTCGCGGGTCTCAGACGATTCTAGGGATGCTGCTGATGAGCCTAGTGGCATGTCTAACTCGTTCAGTAGGTCTAGTTCCAATTTTGGCTCGAAGAGGGTTTCGAAGAGCTCGATCAAGAAGAGGAATGGGCCACTTGTGGATCTGGATCTCATCGAACCAGAGGAGAATTTTAAGGAAAATAACATCGTCCTGCCGTCGCCGATTCCATGGCGATCGAGATCAGGACGTATGGAAGTGAAGGAGGATATAGACATTCCTTCGATGGAGGAATCCGAGACCAATCTGCTTGAGGCTCGGTCCTTTAGGCCTCAAACATCGCGGTCATCTCGACCCAATTCCGCTACTCCGTCCCCAAAGCTGTCGCCTTCGCCATCCTTATCTTCGCCGAGGAAATTATCTCCATCTCCCTCTCCATCCCCGGAGCCGCAAGCGAAAACTCTGGAGGATTCTGTGAGGAGGAGGAGCTCTCACAAATATTCTTCTCCTCCAGTTCCTCCGCCACCCCCGCCACCACCTCCTATGAATTTCAAGTCATGGTCCATGAAACCGAACTCAAGTTCGAGTTCTCAGGTCAATGGAATTTCATATGAGAAGGACATGAGAAGGAGCTTCTCGAGTGAGTACAAGGACACAAATGGAAGCAACAGGGAAATTCCAATGAGGAAAGCCAATCCGGGGTCCGAAGTGAATTCAAGAGGGCTTGATGATGTTTTGTCGGTGGGAAACTTGAAGAGGACAATAAGAGCCAGCGAAACGGTCTCAGGTACCTGGAAAGGAAGAGACACTGGGGACTATTACCAGAACGAAGCAGCAGAAATGGAATTCGAAGATGATTTGGTGGACCCACCGAGAAGAAAGACCGTGGGATTCAATGAAACTTCGTTCGTGACTGAGAAATGGACCCCCGAGAGCACACCACAGAAGCGGTATTTCTCGGAATTTCCAAAGGAAGGAAGGCCGGAATTTCTTGAGAAGATGATTGTGGAATCAGATGAAGATTCGGAGAGCGAGGAAGGTGCCTTCCAAGGAGCTTCGCACAATGATGAAGTTGAAGCTGATTCGAGCGGCGTCAGCGATGGAGGACCAGATGTGGACAAGAAAGCCGATGAGTTCATAGCTAAATTTAGGGAGCAGATCAGGCTTCAGAGGATTGAGTCGATCAAGAAATCGAGCGCGGCGATCAGTAAGAACTCTTCTAGGTAGATATTAACTTGAGGACCCGTCCACTTGTCGAGGGGTATAATGCAAAGTATTTCAATATCGTTCTCGGATTTTCTTTCCTTTCTCTCTTTCCAACCTCAGTTTTATGTTTGAATTTGCTTATATGCTCTACTTCAAAGGCATGACAGTGATTTGAACTTAGTGTCCAGTGTAGAGAAAAGGATGGTCATGGAATGGAATTATTTCCTTGTCACTGCCGGTTGCGTTAGACAGAGGTCTCGGTTGTGATCTGGCCTTTGCGTGTTAAAGCAGAGCAGTTTCATGGCTGCAGTTGAATTCCTCTGCGCAAAGCAATGCATCTGGTGCAGACATTAGGAAACTTAGTGAGCCAAAGCGAGTGTCTTGTACATTGGCTGATCTTCTCTCATTCCCATGCTCTGATATGCATCAGAAAATCTTCTCTCTGTGCACAAATTGGATGAGCATCATCTTCTTGCTTTGCTTGCATGAAAATATCACGCCAACGATGAGTTTCCAGACTATAATTCGGCATATTTTCAGTCGGTCGCCGGCTTAGACTAGACTTCCCTGGTGTTTTCACGGTAGTAAACTTTGGCATTGGCAATTACCTTGTATACCATATCAAGAAATAGTTCAGGGATAGGATTTAATAGAAGAGTGCTGCCACCGTATGTCCACTGTCTAGATGCATGGCTTGGTTTTTAGAAATGAACCGAAAGATGCTGACCATTTGCAAAACAAAGTACGCACTGATTCTCACGGATACATTTTTGCTTGACCGATTCGCGCACGGATACAAACAGCGTCCGCAGTAGTCGTGATCCACAACTACATTTTAAAAACCGTATGATGGGCTCGAATCAATTTGATTGGTGCGTGGTATACGATTGGAGCGAACAGGTCGAGATAGTTGAAATTTGTATCGAACACGGAGGGCTACAGATCGAGCAGGCCAATGTTGCCTCCCACGATGATTTCTGTATTGTGATTGATTTTGTTTAACACCAGACAATTAGCTCATAAATCAAGGAGAAGCAGACAGACTATGCAAACTTTAACGGGTCTTGTGCACAAAAAACATCAACAAATTTTGTTTCGACTACCATGTCTTGATGAGCACGAAACTACAGTTAATATTTCTCAAAAAAGTCGAAAAGTTATCAAATCAAACCCCATTGGGGATAAACACTCTTTCACTTTCGTCCCTCCAAACAGGGGCGACCCCTATTGTTCAAGATTCGAAATAACAAACGAGTCAAATATCGAACTTAATCTCTCGCTAGATATTCTTCTTCCTTATTTTCCTGGAGCAAAAACAAAAAAAAATTTGTGCAAGATTCACAGTACAAAAAAAAGGGATAATTTTCGAAGCAGACTGAGGTAGGAAAACGACAATCGACCATCTACAAATCTCAAATCAGATGACCAATCATAGGTTAGTAAAATTAATCGAACATCGGATTTTACAATTTTTCTTTTTTTTTTTTAGTTCTTCCTCCCAAATCCTAAACTTTAGGGAAAAGAAAGATGGGTCACGGTACAAAACATCTGTAGACCCTCCAAAATCTCATTTCCGACCAAACCATATCCTTCGAGACCCAAACACTACTACAAATTTGTACAATTCCCCCAACTCCTTTGATGGCGACACGTCCCGGAAATGACCAAAATGCCCCGCAGGGACGGCCACGGCCACGACCCCGACCCCGACCGCCGTGCTCACGAGCAGGAGCGGAGGGCATCGAAGGGGGCGTGGACGTGGGCGTGGGGGCCGGCCGCAGGGGCCCACGGGTTGATGAGGGGCAACGGGCGGGGGTGGGGGTGGGGTGGGGGTGGGGGTGGGGCGGGACGGCGGCGAGGGGGCGGCCGACAGCGGCGACGGCGGCGGAGGAGGGGGGAGGGGCGGCGACGCGCTCGCAGGAGGGGCACATGGTGAGGGTGGTGGGAGGGGAGAGGTGCATGTAGAACTGGGGGGAGAGCTTGAGCGCCCGCAGCTCCTGCACCTCCTTCTGCAGCCGCCGGTTCTCCTCCGTCAGGCTCTCGCAGCACCGCTTCAGGTACTCGCAGTCCACCTCCGTCTGCTTCAGCTTCGTCCTGTCCAAAGGCACAAATGCTCGTTTAGTTTAACTTAATTTATCGTTGACCGAGATGGTCTTTGACTGAGGAGGAGGGAATTCATCGTCATCGTCCGAAGTGACACGTGTCCTCACCTCGCTCTCCGGTTCTGGAACCAGACCTCCACTTGTCTGGGCCGGAGCCCGAGCTGCTTCGCCAGCGCCAGCTTCTGCTTCTGCACGAAACAACCCAAGAAACACGACCGTGAGTTGAGGGAAATGACGAAGATACCCCTATCTGAATACAGGGCACGAAAGTAGCATTTCGCATTTAAGTATGGTTTTAATCCGTTTAAGTTTCGGGCATTTTTAGGATTTGACCCTAGCTGTTATTTTTATTCAACCAAGCCCTCCAACCAAGTTTCGGATCTAAGTCCTATTTTATTCATTCAAATCCTCTAACGAGTGTTTCGTCTACTCGTTGCAATCAACTTTTCCTAGCACTAATTTGGTGCCACCTTAGCGCCTTTGCAGCGTTTTTGGCCACAATGACGACGCCACATCATTGGTTAATCTGACGACTCGGCACGAGCAATTTCACCGATGGATTCGATTGCGCACACATCGAAAAGAGTAAAATGACTTGTACAAAATAAAAACCTAGAGCATCAAATTGCACGACCCAAAAAGAGTTAAGAGGACCAACTTGCGAGAACGCCCAAACTTGAAAGACTAAACTTGTACTTAACCCTAGTATTTTGTTTTCCAGCTCTTTCACGCTCTTTATCTCCGACCAAAAAAAAATTAACCGTTTCATGTGTTTTTTCATTTCTCTTAATCCGATAATAAGATTATTTACATGTTTTCTTTTTCTCCAACGAGCAAATATATGTATATCCGTACGATACTTACGGGATTGAGGGTGTTGTGGTCTTTGAAGCTCTCCTCGAGAATGGCGGACTGGTCCTTGGACAGCCGGAGCTTCTTCCTCGACAGGTCGCCGTCCTCCTCGTCGCTGCCGCCGCCGCGGGAGGACGCCCTCTCGTTGTCGAGGTCGTCGCCGTTGGTCTGGCTCTGGTGATCCCTCTCGCTCCGCTTCCCGCTCACCGTCGACGCCATGCTGTTAGGCGACGACACCCCGGCCTCGTCCTCGCCGTAGTCCGCCGCCGCCGCCGACGGCTCTCTGTTCACGTCGATCCCCCGAAGGAAAGATCGCGTCTCGGAGTTCCGATCTGCGCGCAAGAGGGATTGAGGATTAATATATTAGCGAAGAAAGCGAAGATTTTTTTCCTTCGGATTAGTGGGATCGGTTTGTGGAAAAAGACAAAAGCTCGAAACTTTAGGCCATGAAGTTAGACTTGAGTTCTTCTTTTCTTCCGTATTCATTTGCCTCCTTCCAATCTTCGTCTCAACTGAGGCTAACTAAATTTTACAGTTTCTTCTGTTTGGACTTGAAAAAATGCATTTTTTGTTCGGCCGGCGTTTTGACTACACTGAATTAGTTTATGAAGGAAACGGGTGGCCAAACAGAGCATATGTGCATGTGATTTGGGACCACCAAGAACCCAAAGAAAGATCAGATCTTCGCATGCCAGATTTATGCGCGGCAGCAGTACCTGAAGAAGAAGCGAAGGCGTCGTTGCAAGAGCGCTTCTGAACATTGAACCCAGATTGAGCAGACGAAGCAGAGGACGGGACCAAACAGGGCATGAGGTTCAGCTGCAGAGACTGTCGATGATGGTGGACATGGCTCTGAGGGAAGCTCAGGCTTAAGCTCAAGCCCAGATCGTCCTTCTCTCCCATGACGATGACCCTTGATTACTTGGGTCCAAACGACGGAGAGAAGAGAGGAAGAGAGGCCGCTCTTGGGTTTCTGCTCGAGCTCTTCTTCCTGGGTAAAGCACGGAGCTTTGAATGCCCCTTGGTCCAGAGAGAGAGAGACAGAGAGGTGTGGATGGTGTGAAGAAGAGAGTTTTGGGGGATTAAATAGAGAGAGAAAAGAGAGAGAGACACACAGAGAGAGAGAGAGAGAGAGGGGGGAGAGGACAGCAGGGGAGAGGAAAGCTCAAATGATGAGAAGTGGGTGTCAGGGAAAGGCCCAGTTAATGTCGATCATGAGATGGGCATGTCACGCTTTGCTTCGCCTTCCCCTCCCCTCCCCCGATAACAATAATAATGCCCTGCTCTCTCTTTCTTTACATTGCATCCCCCACTTTGTCCTGTCCTTTCCTTTCCTTTCCTTGGCCACTTCTTTTGCTTCTTATTTACCGAAGTGGAAAAGAAATTTAAGAAAAAAACAGTAAACTTATGTACTTGGTCCTCTTCTTTCTTGAAAAAAGAAAAAGGGGAGTTTCATAATTGATTTTTATCTTCCAAAAAAGGAATAACTACGCGAACGATCCTTAAACTTTGGCTCAATATATAATGTCGTCCCTAAACTTTTTATTTTTTCAATGTGATCCCTAAACTTTAGCCCAATGTGCAATGTCGTTCCTGAACTTCTAATTTATTCAATGTGATCCCCGAACTTTTATTAAACGGTCAATCTAGTTCCTACACTATATGAAAATATCTAATAGTATCCTTCCATTAATTGAAATTCATGGACCACATTGAACATTTTCATGTAGTATAAGGGACTAAACTGAACGCATGCCAAAAGTTGAAGGATCACATTGAACAAATCAAAAGTTCATGAATGACATTGCACATTGAGTTAAAGTATAGAGACTACATTGCACATCGAGTTAAAGTATAGAGACTACATTGCACATCCAGTCACAATTCAGGGACCATTTACGTCATTTTCCCTCGAAAAAAAGAACAACTTGTACCGTATGTGTTTTTTCGGCCTAATTCCCCAAACAAAGCCATCAACTTTAGGTACAATCAAAATTCTGCTCCTTCAGCTTTCATTCTAATCTCAAATTCGCCCCCTGTCCAAAAATCGTCACTAATTTTTTCAAAATTATCAACATCAAGGTCAGTTAAAGGCTCGTTATTTCGCTCAACACCCTCACCTTCGTACGGAATAACAGCAGTCTCCTGATGTTAAAAATATTTAAGAAACCAGTGGCAATTTTTTAATGCATGAGCAGACTTGGGACTAAAATAAAAGTTGTGAATATTTTTCTAAACAAAAAAAAAATAGCGCAAAATTGAGATTGGACCTAAAGCTGGAAGTATTTTTAATAATTAGCCCGCTTTTTTCCCTATCATTGTGTTTAAAATATTTAGCATATGCAGTATTTTTTTGGCAAAATAGAGATTCTTCTTTTTTCTTTGTTTTGTTCACTGTCGGATTGCATAATAATATATTTGCTTTGAAAAGTATAGTCGTACTCTTTAGGATCTAAAAAAAGTCGATGAGACATGTAATGTCTTCCTAATAGCTATGTCGCATCCCCGCCGAGAAAGTTTTCCCAAAACGAAATTGACCTAGACAATTTTGTAATCAAAATTAGAGAGGATATCATGGTTCTGTTAAGTATTAGAGAGGATTGTGTCCGTTTACAATATTTTTGTCATAGCTTCCCGACTTCTGTCATACCCTATATCGTCACGAGCCATTTATGTGAACCGGTTACATCTGATATATCAACAATTTTTAGTATACTCGAACCGTATAGAAGACACGAAAAGGCGAGGGGGTTGCCATTACATGCATTTAAGAAAAATGATTTGTTGAGAAAAGAAATGATGGCAATCATGGATCGGTGGGATATCGAGTTTGAATATAACGTTTATCTTTGTCTATGCCCCATCTTCCTTGGACTTGTTTGAATCAAAGAGATATCATGCACCTATCAATAATTAATGGTTGCAATTGTGCGCGGTCATCTCTCTCTAACCAAGAAATGTATGTCTATTTCCCGTGACTAAGCATTGCATAACCTAATAAAACATCGTGATCATGATCCCCATGTCAACACCTCTTTTTCATGAAAGTATCGTGATGGGCAATCTTCATTTCGTCCATGTCAATATTTTCAGGCAGATTTAGCTTGAAAAACAAACGTCGGGCACCCAATCAAATTGAGTTACAAAATCTAATCACGACGAAAAATTCAATGAGACGATCAAGTTGGATATTGACCCTTTTCCCATCGAGAGATTTCCTTGTTTAATACTCTAATCAAATGAGAGAGAATTCGTGGACTAACAAGGACACATTTGAATTCCAAACAAGGGTCCTCGTTCACATTGACATGCTTGAACATTGGAATTGTGAATAATAAAAACCTCAAAACTCTAACTTTAAGACTCTCTCTCTCTCGTTAATAAATCGAGGAGAAATCTATCTTATTCTTTTTTTTGTCTGTCATATCTCTAACTCTCTTCACTTTGTCTCTTGCACAGCGCAAAAGTTAAATCATGCACTTGTGATACTAATGTCCCCACCCCCCAATCTCTTTACCAGCAAAATCGCATGCCTATTGGCGAAAAGAAATATATCTTTAATAAGCTGACTTGGTATTAGTATTATCTAGATGGGGCATGTAATAGTTAAAACTATAGATGGTATAACAAAGTGCGCTAAATACTAACGAAAACGCATCGTCTGATTTTTATTAGCAGAGTATTTACCAACACAACGAATGAATTTTTTTTGATAAAGTAACATATTCGACAAATAATCTGTATCCGTTTTCTATATTTTAAGCTATTGGGACCATCATCCCTTTAAAGGCTTGAAGCAAAAGATATTTCCCCGAAAAAGAATGATTGAATTTGATTTCTACTAAATGTGGAAAAATTCGCACAAATTTCAAACGCCCTTAAATGCTGAAAGATACGATATCCGATGCTAGTTGACAAGTCACAATCCGAATACGAAAAAAAACAGAAAGACCAGAGGTGAAATTACTCGATTGCGCAATAAAAGTCGTCCCCAATAATTACGAGAATAACCAATAAATCCGACAAACCTCTCTTTTCGCATCTCCTTTTCGTTAAAAGTAATTCGTACAGATAACCAGAGGACTAGAAACCAGGGGAAAGCTTATTGACAGCCGTCGAAATCAAGGGAATGAACGGCCATGATTGGAACAATACAACTCTTCTTTTGATCCAAATCTAATAATCGATTTATATGCAGTGAAGGGGCCCCGCAAAATTTATTGTGTTTCCCTCGAAAAATCTCTATCCCATGCGACTCCGATTGCAACTCCGAGCGAGAGAGGAGTCTCTTTGTAGACAAACTGGTCGCCGTCCATGAACAACCTCCAAATTCACTCGGTACCAATCCATAGACAAACGACTTTATTCGGGACTTGCCGTCTATTGGCGCGCGTGATTCCACGGATGAAGGTAGGCCCGTCAAATGGGTGGATCGTAATCACTAAAAATTGCTCCAATGGCCACCCTTAAAGGGGAGTTGGGAGTTTGAGTCATCACCTTCTCGGTAGGGCTAGGAGTGAGGACGCGTGAGTGAGAGAGCCGGGTTTCGAAACATGCGCACAACACATAGCACACGCGGTGGCTTGTAAAATAGAAATAGGATAGATTCCGACAAAAAAAAAAAGAGTGGATCACGTCGGATTTGGGTCGGATCGAAAATGATCCGGCCTATATTAATCTAGTTTTATGCAATACAATTTTAATGACTCGTACCCGATTCAACCCAGCTCCAATTTTTAGCAATTTTTCTTCTTAAATTGTTGTCTCTAAAAATTAGCGACTCCATGGACCGATTCACAAGTCGGTGAAGCAATTTAGGTGCTCGGGTGGAGTCGGGGGCCAAGGCTTCGTGTGGCACATGAATAACGTGGAGATGTGAGTGAATGTCACGCAAACGAACAAGAAAAAAGAGGTTTTAGAACCGAGAATCGGTTGGTTTCAATTTGGATATCGATTCTATCTGGGAACTTGCCTATATTATGTTTTTGGATAAGAAATCTTTATACAACATAAAAATCACATCATTTCACTAAAAAAAAAACATATATTGATTAAGTGGACATGTTGTTATTTATTCATGTTAAATACCACGTTTCGATTCTCAATGTGTTCAAAAGAATTTTTTTTTAAGAAAGAGGATTTCGAACCGGCCTCAAGGGACTTGGGCCAAACCTTTGTGGACTCGGACATGGGCATTGAGATCTCAAGCTCGGTCTCAACAGACCCGAGCATGGGCACCACGGTCTTGAGATTGGTTTCGAGCAACTTGGGGCCAACTTCTTTGTATTGAGCTTGGTCTCGATGGACTCGAGGCGGACCAGTGACTTAGGCATGGGAGCCAAGTACCTAGGCATGGCCAAGGAGACCTAGACATAGGCATCGAGGTCCAAGGGTTAGCCTTGAGGCACTTGGGCCCGGCCTCTGTGGACTCAGGCACGAGTACCAAGGTTTGGAGCCTAGCCTTGAGGGACCTAGGCCCAACCGTTGAGGAACTGGGTCTGGCCATGATGGACCCGGGCAGAGTGTCAATGACTTTGGGTGAAGTCGGAAACCCGAACACAGTCACTTGGGACTCGCCCCTAGCCTCTGTGGACCCAGCTATTAAGGAACCAAGCGCCAATTACTTCGGTACGAAAAAGAATACTCAAGCAGGGTAGCTAGGGACCCAAGTATGAGCACCAAGGTCCCGGGTTGAGCCTCAAGGGACTTGGGCCCAATCTCCATGGACTTAGGCACAATCGCCGGGGTCTTGGGCCTGGCCTAGAGGGACTTGGGCCCAGCCACTGTGGACCTAGGCCCGGTTACCGAGGAACCGAGCACTAGTGACTTGGACATGCGAGTCGAGTACCCGGGCATGGCTATTAGGGACCCGAGCATGGGGTCTCGAGCACGTCCTCAAGAGACCCGAGGGGGCCTCTATGTACCAGGGCTTGCCTCGATGTACTCAGTCCATCTATCAAATTCAAGTTCGGGGATTACATTGAATATTTTCATATAGTTTATGAACTACACTAAACATGTACCAAGAGTTCAATGACCACATTGAATAAATTAAAAAGTTCAGGGGCCACATTGAATATCGGGTTAAAGTTTAGGGACTATATTGAA